AATGATTCAATCTGTTACACTATGTCCGACTGTGCCCTTGCTGAAAAGCACCCATTATCTGGTAATGAACAGACATAAATTCGATAATTATTTAGAATATTCCTACCCACTTTAATTTTGATGAAATTCGATTTCAGTCGATGCAATTTTGCATGAAATAAAAGAATCTAACCGAAATAAGATGTCGCTCTGCCCCGTGAACCGAAATATTAATCGTTAAAGTTGACGATTATTCAGGTTAGGAAAACTGTCGGCTATGAAAAGACCTTTCTGGATCCTTCTCTGATCATTTGATCTGCTCTGATAGCGGAAAATCCCTTCTTTATTCCCTCGCCGCGGGCTAGAAGGCGGGAGAGGAACGGAATTCTCCGCAACTTTTGCGATTACCAATCGCAATTTGCAAAGTACAAGCGCATGTACGCGTCAAGGTCAAGGATAGCGAAAGATTCCCGCCCCGCTCCCACTCTCTCTCCCACTCCCGTTTCCCCCGTCCGCCAAACCAATCAATTCTTTTTTTAATTAAATTTCGCTTAGTGTACCGAGTTGAAAACCCATAAATGATTCTACAAGTTTATAACTTTTCACACACAGCAAGAACAAAAGAGGATCTTTTTCGTAGCTGTGACAGATTTCTTTAACCTGAAGAATCGTCAATTTTAACGATTAATATTTCGGTTCACGGGGTAGAGCGACACATTTTTACCAGATTTATTCATTTCGCGAAAAAACACGTTAATTGATGTATTTTTTATAATTCTGTATGCTGAAGTAAACAATTATTACCCAGTTACTTTGTACTAAGGATCAGAATAAGTAACACTCCTATATTACATGAATATGAACAGTTAGTCGAGTTCTCAGCGGGCACTCAGCGAGTCAGCGGGGGTCGGGGTCTAATTTCTAAAGCCTCGTGTCCACGATGCTAGAAATCGATCCGAGACAGAGAAAGAATAACAAATCACATTTGACCAATTTGATCGCATGAGCAATGCGATTGGTCAATTCCACGATGGAAGGGAGAACACGGTATCTCTTTCTAAATCTCTGCCCTCTCCGTCTAATATAGCTTTATGCCTGCTGTACGCTGGACGCAACGAGCGACATCCAATGAGAATTCTGTTTTACATCGTCATATGAGAAAAAGCAAAGGTTTAATTGGACATCGCCCGTCGCTCATGCTCATCATGTCCAGTGTGCAGTAGACATTAGTCCGGAACTACAATAGGTGTTTTAAGTAATAAGCCGTAAGAAACTGCCGACCAATTACAGCCGATTACCGAATGCCAGAAGAATAATCGATTGTGGTTTGTCCATTTCTTATGACTTAAAGTTTAAAAATCTATTATAAATTCGGATTACAGAAATTTTCATGCTGCGACAGATCCCTTATGCCTGTTCTACAATAGAGTCGCAAGTTGTAAACCGTAAGAAATTGGCCAATCACAGTTAAGTGTGAGAAGATAATCGATTATAATTGGTTAATTTCTTACGGCTTTCTGCTTACGACCGTATTGTAGAACAAATCTTATGAACCTTCTACAACAAGCCATTACATAGTGACAAATCAGAAATCAGAAGCTAAAAATTGATCAATTACAGTCGTCAATTTTTAGCACTTTTGACGTCTGATTTATAACTAATGGTTTATTGTAGAAGGCTCATTAAGCTGTAAAGATGTCTTTTTATGCTAACGCTCGACGTTCAATTTCAACGTCAAAATAAACCATATGATCAAAATTGGGTGCATCCAGAACGTTAACCGCTCAATGAGCTCTTTCATTTGAATGGCATATTCTTATTAGATCCTAAAATATAGACCAATCAAATGAAAAAGCTCACTGAGCGCTTAGTGAGCGGTTGTCATTCTGAATGCACTCATTGGGTGCATCCAGAAGTATGACTGCTTACTGAGCGCTCAGTAAGCTTTTGCATCTGATTGATATATTCCGTTAGAACTAAAAATATAGATCAAACAGATACAAAAGTTCACTGAGCGCTCAATGAGCAATCGTGCTTCTGGATGCACCTATTGACACTTTGATAGTCATCAATTTTTATTACGTGACTTATTTTAACTCCAAAAAGCGTTAAATATCAGCACGAAAAGGCATCTTAAGAAACTGATCAATTACAATTGAATGCAAGAAGAATAATCGACTATGATTCGTTCATTTCTTATGGCTTAAGGCTTAAAAATTTATTGTAGATCTGAACTTACGACCAATATAAAGGCTCCCTAAAACCCTCGGTGAAATAGAGATCTTTGTCAACTAATTAATATTAAACCCTAATCTAGCAGGATAACAAACATCATGTGTCGTCGGCTTAAAAAAGTTACTAGTTGGTACGAGTATCAAGTGAGATCGATGTAAATTAAGGCACTAGGCCTTTGAGAACAACACTAGTGGCGCAAACTTCAGAGGATACGATACTGTATGTATGTACTACGATACGATACGATAGAGTACGAAGATGGGTGGGTAGATAAGGAGTCTCGGCCAACATTTTTTCTCGTTGATATTACGACGTAGCGCGTCAATGAGTATCATCTCTTTGTTATTCTCTTGTTTCTTATATTACAATTATCCGTGTTCTTCCATGATATTCTCTATTGTCGACTTTTGGAGTATTTCCAAGTCGAGAATATCCGAATTTGCTATATTCTCGACAACCGACATATTGGTCAACGACGGACGAAATTCAAAATCGTCAAGAATTTCCAAGTGATGAATCGACATCAGAAGACTGATATGGACTTGTTGTTCTTTTCTTCTATTGATGAAGCCACGAAGATATGGCTCGATACTCTGCATCGAATGTGGACGCTGTGTAAGCATTTAATTTTATCTCCTACGTTTGTCACTCGATCGTGTATATTAAAATGTGCAATCGTATCAATCGTAGGGAAAAAATGCGATGGTGTCAGCAAAACATTGACTGATTACTTCGAGACGGCTCCAAATCCATATCTTAGCACATTAAGGATTATGGTCAACGTTTCGGATTTTGATCACATGACAAACAGCAAGTCACTTGCATTTGCAGGTTTATTTTTTTTCTCCTTTTTGTATAAAATATGTTTGCAATATATATGGTATATAACAGTTATATTTTTTGTATTAACTTGGCTAACATTGGAGAAATACTTGTAATAATTTGTGTTAAGAACATACATCTCTAACGACTTTGATAATTATATGAAAAAAAATACATATAAATAAATCAAAATACGTTTTTATTTTTGTTTCTACATATAAAAATTAAGATAACATGTTTCTCAATGTTGATAATTTATAAAAGTAATTTCCTGTAATTGTTAGACAATATTTTGAGAGAGAAAGATATATCATGTGTAATAAACTTCAATTCTAATCTTTTTAAAATCATAGGCTTCTTGTAATTTCGACTGTATTTCAGTGATAGAAGAGTTTTCAAATTGGATAGAAGAAAGGAAGGAAGGATACAAGGAATTTCTTGTCCCTGATTTGAAACTAGCAGCATTTAAATTAGTAAGACAGAAACATATGAAACAGATGGTGTTAATGGAGAAAATATCTATTATATATGATTTTGTAGAACATAAAGATATATTCCTACATACAATAGAGGTGTGTTGCTAGAAATATAATAATCTTTTTGTATACACAAATATATATATATATATATCAGTTACTTTTTTTTCCAACCCTGATATGATATACATACATATATTTTTTTAGGATATAATACAAGAAAAAGAATATAAAGAAGCTGCACAATATATAGCAATGCTACAATTGCAAAGTCATTTTATGGATCCACAAATATTATTACTACCTCTCATACTACAAAATAAATTACAAATAGTTGACAAATTTTTGACAGGCTGTCCAGAGGTTCAAAAATCCTTAACAACTTATTTAGACAATTTAATAGCACCGGGAAAAAATGTACAGATTATATTGGAACAATTTGTTTAGTAAGTAATATATTCATTTTTATTGAACACTCAAATCTGATGATAATTGTTATATAATGGAGATTTTTACTGAAGTGAATTCTTTCAGTACAAATGATATACCAGAAGTTAAGATATCATTGACACAAATTCGCCCAATAACCAAGCTTATTGCACGTTTAATAAAGCAATATAATTTATCACCCGATGTATGCCCTCATTTAAATACAAAACGAAACGAAGGAGCATTGCAATTCCTTATACATAAGCGCTATGTGGATAATAGTTTAAGTAATTATCTATATTATGATAGATAACTTTTTCTATATTATGATTTAGAAAGGTTAATCTCACATAAAAATAAAAAATTTTTTTATGTAATTTTTTTGTTATATAGATATTGCCAGTTGGAGAGAAATGGTAAGAGAAGCAGTAGGAAACGATGCCAAATTACAAACAGAGTTACTAAGTATGTTAATTTACGCTAATGATGCACAAGAAGGATTATATTGGGCAAAGGAGTACGAAATACCTAAAGATGAATGGCCATGGGCTATTGTACATATAGAAGAACAGAATGCACCATGTAATGCCTTTATCTATATTTTTATATTTGCATTTTGAAAAATATCTATAATATTATAGTTTTCAGTGGTAAATGAGGGCGCTTCGACAAGTAGAGATAAAACTTGGGAACCAAGTGAGGATAATGTAAATTATCATATTTTAAAATTACCGAGAGAAAATATCAAATTAGTAGATGATGGACGATTATTCGAAGAATTCCTTGATAATGGATTGAGGGATGTTAATATAGTTGGAATTGATTTAGAGTGGAAACCTAGCTTTGGTAATTATAATTAAAACTTAAACATGTAAATAAGTTTCAGAACAATATATAACTTTAATTAAAGTAAAATACATATATTTTATCAGGAACTAAACAACCTGAACTAGCACTTATGCAAGTAGCTACTGAGGATAACGTTTACATTCTGGATATAACTACTATTGGCGATAAATTACTTGAACTCTGGAATGAACTTGGTCTTGTATTATTCGGAAATAAAGATATTATCAAGATTGGTATGTGTTTTCAATTATCTAAAATAGTATATTGTCTGTATTATTTTAATACATATTTTGATACAATGTATACATGTGTTACATTTTACACTTATTTTGGAAATAGAATTAATTTTATGATATAAATGACATTCAATAATACAAATGTCAGAGATATTGAAAGTATATATTAATAATAATATAATAATAATTTTTCATATAGGCTTTGGAATAGCACAGGACATGACTGTAATACGTAATAGTTTACCTGCCTTATCGTCCATTAAAACACATGGCCAAGGATATCTTGATTTGATGCTTTTATGGAGAAAATTAGTAGAAGAATACAATTTTGTTTTCCCATATAAAGGTGATCCAAATTTTACAAACAGAAGTTTAAGTAAACTTGTGGAATTATGTTTTGGACAAAGACTCGATAAGTCTGATC